TTGTTTTTGGCTTTTGTTCCTCTAATGTGCGTGTGCGCGTGTGCGTGTGTGTGTGTGTGTGTGTGTGTGTGTGCGTGTGCGCGTGTGTGTGTGTGCAGCAGTGAATGCACCGCTGTGTGGACAGGTACTCTGGTCTTGATGTGGAGTTTTATCAGACTGTGAAACACTTTGTGTTTTAAAACAGAAAATATTTGATCTGAATTTATTTTGAAAATCACCGTCACACAGCCGTCTCGTCACTTTCACAGATTTTTCTGTGAACAGATGAGCAGCAGAAGTTTTCAGCATTTTACATTCAGATGTTTCACAAACTGTTGGATTGTCTGTCTGGGATTTCATAGCCAGTCATGTGACTGCTGTCCCGCCAATCAGCGTCACTGTATGTGAGACTCTTATTGTTTAGCATTAAACTTCATGTTGTCTCAGCCTTTATGATGTGTGTTACTGCATCAAATTCAAAATAAGAGCATAAAAATGAAGCAACTGAAAGTTCTGACAGGACAATAAAATATCAATAGACTTTATTGAATAGAGTTTACAATGAAGATGGATGCAGAGCCATGACTGTAGTTTACAGAATCAAACAGCAGCAGAGACATTTCTGAGACAGAAAAATGTATATTTAATATGATAATAGAGAGCATAAATGCGCGATTCACTGACATATACGGCATATCTACTGTTATATTGCTGGGTGCTCATTTGAACTATAAAGTATGAAGTCAAAAAGCTCAGACATCAGGCTGCTCTGAACACTCAGTTTCACCTTTTTCTCCTCTTGAACTTTCATATGTAGAGACAGGATATCATGAACATTTATATCTGAGACACAGAAGGTCCGCCCACCCGCTCACCTGCAAACTTTAGCTTCACCAATCAGAAGAGACAAAGAGGCATAAAACAGCTCATCAGACACTCTGATCTGAGCTTAGGATAAAGAAGGATGATTTCCAACTGTCAGTCATGCAAAACTACGCTGTTACAGTCCAGCAGTCAGAGTACAGAGATGGAAATAAGTTGAATTACACAGCAGATCATCTGAGGAACATCAGCCAATAACGTTCAGACTAAACCGCCACAGTCTTCCTTCTCACTGTAAGCGGCTGTCTCCTCCTCTCTGTGGAAAACCTTCCCATCAGGCTGCGTCCTCCACCTCAGCTTCACCTCCTCAGTGACTCCTTGCTCCACCAGCTTCTCCCTCACCTGAAACACAGTTTTCACACATTAACAGAAGCTCCTCATTAATCAGCCGTTGTTTCTGTAGTGAGCAGAAAACATTGTTGGTGCTGTTTCTGGGGGAAATGAACTAAATGAACTGGCTGGGGATGAAACTGAAGTCTGGAATTAGGCCTCATTGCCTGTCATTGGTTCACGTCGTCTCCTCACAGTAATCTGAAATTAAATGACTTCTTCAAGTTACCAGTTAAAAAGGTTAAATAATACAAATGGATGGGATTGCATTAAACGAGCCCCGTATCTCTGCAGCTGTGTGCTGTCACGTGTCCCTGAACCTGCACAGACTCACTGCTCTCTATCATTTCACAGTAGTTATAGCGGTCTGTTCCTTGTATCGGGGCCCGTGTGACCTCTGACCTGCTGCAGGATGGATTCTTGCACTGTGGGGTCGTTCAGGTCTGCAGATCCCGCCCTCAGCTGAACCTTCACTGACCTCAAGGCTGAAGGTTTGACATCTGCAGAGAAAGAAAAGGGCCATTCAATTCAGTTTTATTTATACATCACTAAATCACAACAACAGTCGCCTCAAGGCGCTTTATACTGTGCGGTAGACCCTATAGTAATACATATAGAGAAAAAACCAAGCAATCAAATGACCCCCTATGAATAAGCACTTTGGCGACAGTCAGAAGGAAAAACTTTTTCCCTTTTAACAGGAAGAAACCTCCAGCAGAACTCAGAGCTCAGGGAGGGGCGCAAATGGAAGAACGCAGTCTTACATATTTGTTTAATATGTGCATTGAAGGACATGTCCTGGTCAAAAATGACTCCAAGGTTCCTCACAGTGTTACTGGAGGCCAAGGTAATGCCATCCAGAGTAAGAATCTGCTTAGATACCATATTTCTAAGCTTTTCAGGGCCGAGTACAATAACCTCAGTTTGATCTGAATTAAGAAGCAGAAAGTTAGCGGCCATCCAGGTCTTTATGTCTTTAAGACATTCCTGCAGTGTAACTCATTGGTGTGTGTTATCTGGCTTCATGCACAGATAGAGCTGGGTGTCATCTGCATAGCAGTGTAAATGTATGCTATGTCTTCTAATGATGCTGCCTAAGGGAAGCATGTATAATGTAAAAGTGCTATATAAATAAAATTGATTTGATACTTTACTTAGGCAATCAAATTAAGATAGATTTTATGTTGTTGGTTTTAAAGAACTGGATGGATATTTTAATGTATTTTTTATTTCTATTTTTCAAGAGTTGGAGAAGTGCCCTTTTTTCATAACTTGGCCTACCCTTTTTAGTTTTGTTAATATTGGCAATAGTGAGAAGTACTATGGTTGGATTCAAATGTATTTAACATAGGGCATCTAATTAAGGTAAATGTCATGTTTTTAGTTGGTAGAATCTGATGAGCAATATTTTATTTTATTATTTTTTATTTTGTTTTTCAGTTTTCCTCCTGAGTGATTGCCACCTTAACGTGGTCAGGGGGTTTGTGTGCCTCAGTGACACTAAGATCTAGACCTGCAGAAGCTGAGCCTTCAGGGGGGACACCCAAGTTGGTCAGGTTTTAGGGTAGAGGTTTGACAAAGTGCAATCCAATTACATGACAAAAACAGTTATTCAGAGCACCCCACATTCGCCTCAGCTGCCACCATGTGCCCCCTTTACATTTCTGTCTGCCCCCTCATATATGCCTGTCTAGAACCAGCCCAGCACACCACCCCCTCGGCCTGTGCTTCGAGGTTTCTGGTAGTTAGAATGACTCGGGGGTGTTGATTCATTTAAACTAACATAATCATCCTGCTGCAACCAGGTTTCTGTAAGGCAGAGTAAATCGATTTGTTGATCAATTATTAAGTCATGTACTAACAGAGACTTGGAGGAGAGAGACCTAATATTTAATAATCCACATTTCACTGTTTTACTTTGTGGTTCAGATGTGGATACTGTATTGTTCTTTCTTTGTGATTGTTTAAGTTTAAGTTGTTTGTTTCTGGTTTTAGTTTGTTTTTTGTCTGTTTGGGAGCTGACACAGTCTCTATGGAGATGGGTTTTTGGGGGGGTAGCAGGAGGAGAGAAGCTGCAGAGAGGCGTGTAAGACTGCAACTCTGCTTCCTGGTCCCAACTCTGGATAGTCATATTTTGGGGGGTTTAATAAATTTGTCCATATTTCTAGAAATGAGAGCTGCTCCATCCAAAGTGGGATGGATGCCATCTCTCCTAACAAGTCCAGGTTTCCTCCAGAAGGTTTGCCAATTATCTATGAAGCCCACATCATTTCTGGGACACCACTCAGACAACCAGCAATTTAAGGAGAACATGCGGCTAAACATGTCACTCCTGGTCTGATTGGGGAGGGGACCAGAGAAAACTACAGAGTCCCACATTGTTTTGGCAAAGTTGCACACCGATTCAATATTGATTTTAGTGACCTCTGATTGGCGTAACCGGGTGTCGTTACTGCCGACGTGAATTATGATCTTACTGAATTTACGTTTACCCTTAGCCAGCAGTTTTAAATTTCCTTCAATGTCGCCTGCTCTGGCCCCTGCCGGTGTCTCTAGCTTCACATGTCTGAGAACAGAATCACCAATTACCAGAGTTTGACCCCCGGCGGGTGTGTCGCCGAGTGGGGAAAAACGGTTAGACACATGAACGGGTTGGTGGTGTACCTGGGGCTTCTGTTTAGGACTATGCTTCCTCCTCACCGTGACCCAGCCGCCCTCTTTCCACAGCTGCTTGGGGTCTGCCGGGGAACAGCTAGCGGGGCCTACGCTATCTTCGGCTCCACCAGCTACAGGGGCCTGGCTAGCTATGGGTGAATGAAGGGTGCGAAGCCGAGTCTCCAATTCAGTAATCCTGGCCTCCAGAGCTGCAAATATGCTACATTTGTTACAGATATCATTACTGCTAAAGGAGTAACTAAACATCTGACACAATGAGCAAGAAAGTGCAGGAGGGACAGGTGAAGTAGCCATGGTGCACGTGAAGATTATACTATGAAAACAGAAGTTATCTAAAGGTTTTTAATTAAATTGCTACGCAGATAAGCTACTCAACTACTACTTCCTGTTCCTGTGTTGAAACAGGAACAGGAAGTGATACTCTACCGCAGACAGAGCAAACACTAAATGACAGCGCCACCCAAAGCATCGGCAGTGCTGTGCCAAGAGTGTCCGGATGAGCCCAGGAGGACCAGACTGTGCAGAAACACAGAGGACAGACTCACCTCTGGAGCAGAGGAAGGGGCGTTGGTCATCACAGTTATGACTGTTGAAGGAGCCTGTTGATCCGACTATTGTGGCACAGTTTACGCTGTTATCAGGCTGCCCGGGCCCCCACGGCAGGTTGGAGACTGTGCTCGAGTTTGACCAGGTCCAGTTTCTGTACAGTCCAATCCAGGCACCAGCAGTATCTGACACCACAGAAGCGACCTGGCTGTTGTCCTGCGTGTTGGTGATGGTTTTCAGGTCTGTGTACGTCTGTCTGCAGTAAGACTGAGCATCAGACCAGGTCATTGATTTCTCCACCTCGATGTGTTTGTTAGTCGCAGCTGAAACAAAAGATCAGACGGATTCAAACCTGCAGCTAAAATGTTCAGTTTGTCAAACCCTGGTACCAAAGTCTGAAACACTCACCGTCATAGCAGACAAAGTCATAAGTAGCTGAGCACGGTCTTGTGGACCATGATCCAGATTTAGTTATTATCACACACTCATCAGTCCCTGGCTGTCCCGGTGACCACATGTTAAACCAGGATGACTGAACTGGACCGAGGCGAGACCATTTCCAGCCGCTCTTGGAGAGTCCAATCCACGCCTCGGTGCTCCCCGCCCTTTTCTGGGCTTCCTGGATGAGAGCTGAGCTGTTAACGATGGCGAGGTCAATGTACTCATCTCTGCAGTATTGCTGAGCATCGTTCCAGGACTTCTGCAGGTCAACCAGGTGGAGCTGTCTGACTAACTGATCAGACTGAAGATGGCAGACCATCACGTAACCTGAGAGGACACGAGTCAGTCAGCGCGGTCACAGACTCACCTCAGCTCGACTATTTTAGTCATCAGGAGAATAAATTCTTTACATGCTACCACAACGCAAACTTTTTGTTGACATCTTTAAAGACGTGAATATATGTTAATATATGTGTCCTTCAAAGGATGTGTAACTCGTGTACTGGTTAAAAGCTGTTTTACGGTGCCTGTGGACACCTACACACTGGTTTCCTGCTCCAGGGCGAAACTCTCACATCAGCTTAAAAAGCTGCTTTAACAGTGCTAAGTTTGTTTTTCACTCTGGCCTTATTGCACATGTATTTGGACGATTTTTCCTCTTCAGTGTGCACAATGAAGGAAAACGACGTGTTAGTGGTCGAGGCTCAAAGCTGAACAACACGTGCACTAGGGCTGGGCCATATTATAGCGTTCACGGTAATACCGGTACAATGTTAGGCAACAATAAGAAAATGAAATATCATGATAAATATTTTTGGTCATATCGCCCTGCTCTAACGTGCACACGGACGTGGTAAAAGCAGTCAGGATCTTTTTCAGCGAGCTGACGGGTTTGCAGCGTTTCAGGTTTTCAGTCAGATTTCTACACAGAAAATAAAATCAAGACGTGTTTTTCTCAGCAGTGCACACAAACAGCCACGTTCATGCACTGACTCTTCCCTCCTTTCTTTCTTTACTCTTTTACTTCACTTTATACAAACTCTTACAAACTACCGACCATTAAACTGTCAATCAAACTTCTAACTGGACCCAAAGAAACCTTTAGAAGTTTAGTTGACATGACAAAGGTCTTTGGAGATTGTACGAGTGTTCCTGTGACTGCTTGAAGCTCGTTTACAGACACCTTTAAAATAATCCCTATGGAGCAGTTCACTTTGTGCTTTCTTTGATTTTCTGACATCAAAAGTTTTATTCAAACTGTAAATGAGGCGACTGAGATGAGTTCACAGACCTGAGAGCAGCAGCAGGATCAGTCCACACCTCTTCATGACTGAGAGCTGAAAAACTGTGAAGACGTCCTCATGAATCTCATCTGCAGCTGCTCGTTCATTATTAATCATAACACTTAAAGCAGCATCAACAAAGAGGCAGCTGTCTCTGTCATTCACTCCATTTCTATCTAATCTAATCATTCAAACAAAACTATCAAACATATTCAACATTTGAAACGTTCAACTTTAAAAATGTTGTCTTCCTTCAATTATCATCATTTTGTTTATTAGAATACCAGACAATGAATGTGTGAGATTATCAAATAAACCAAACATATGCAGAACATACCCGACACGATGAGACGTCTGTGCAGCTGTGACACAGTCAGAACTCTTCATCTGATATAAATGTCATCCTCGCTCCTCCTCCCACGTCCATCAGAGACTTTGTAAAAGTGGTTTTTTAGAAAGCAGCCCAGTGTTCATTACAGTGCATTTGATTAAAGATGCTCAGAGTCGTTTAACTGAAGATGACTTATTCAAAGTTATTACAGATGCAAACAGACTGACGTCTGCCCGACCACTTCAATGTTCCTTGAATAATCTAAAGAATTTGGAAAGAAAAGCATCTGATCTTCTTTAATTTTCTTGAAGATGTTTCATGCGAGAAGCTTCTTCAGTTTTAAGGTCAATTGGTGGTGAGTGCCAGATTTTCAAGCTCTATGGGAGTGTCCCCTAAGGGGGTCATGGACCCGCTATTGATCCTCTACCTAATCACATGGGCCAAGGTGTGAAAACGGGTTTGGGTCACAATCAGCCAAGATTTCGGGTGAGCTCACTGTGAAACTTAGCCCCACCCTATCATGTGATTTCCTGAGTTGAAATGGCTCATGATGTGAGTGGGCATTAAGGTGTCTAGGAAGGATCACCAAACTGGCTTATTGATGGCAGACAGTTGGTGTCGAAAGCCTCTGTTCAAAGAGGGTTGTTCATTGTGGACATAGATGGCTTCTTCACTTGTCTTTCAAACCATCTGTCTTCTCAGTCCAAATTTTGAACATTAGTGTCCTTGAAAGAGTGACCTTTGTCCTTTAGATGCAGATGGAGAGCCAAGTCCTGTCCCGCCAAGGTGGCTCTTCTATGTTGTGCCATGCCTTTATGAAATGGCTTTTTGGTGTCTCCAATATAGAGTTCTGAGGATTTTTGAGATCCCTTCCCAGACACCTTAAAGCCCACTTCTTAGAATACAATGACCTGGATGACTGAGAAACCTCAATTTTCCAGCTGACGTGGCAGGTCCGACTTAAAAACTCCCACTGGTTCAGAGGTAGCTGAGGCCTCCAGCTCAGCCTCTGGTTAGGCTCCGGGCAGTTTCTATGAAGGAGCCGGTTGAGCCTCACAAAACACATTTTCAACACAGTTGTTCAATAAAACATTATTTATATGCCCACAATCGGTGTGGCAGCAATTTTTCCACACCAGCCTATTAATCAACCAAAGACCCAGACAGACTTTTAATTCATTTGAAAGCCTGATGCTTCGCCTCGTCCACCCCAGCTGTGAAACTCAGAAACCAGTCTTACTTGTTATCATCTATCGTCCACCTGGGCCTTACACAGAGTTTCTGTCTGATTTCTCAGACTTTATATCTAATTTAGTTCTGAGCTCAGATAAAATAATTATTGTGGGAGATTTTAACATCCATGTAGATGCTAAAAATGACAGCCTCAACATGGCATTTAATCTGTTATTAGACTCAATTGGCTTCTCTCAAAATGTAAAAGAACCCACCCACCACTTTAATCACACTCTAGACCTTGTTTTAACATATGGCATAGAAACTGAACATTTAACAGTGTTTCCTGAAAACCCTCTCCTGTCTGATCATTTCCTGATAACATTTACTTTTACAATAATTGATTACACAGCAGTGGAGAGTAGACTTTATCAAAGTAGATGTCTTTCTGAAAGCGCTGTAACTAAGTTTAAGAATATAATCCACCCACTGTTATCATCTCCAATGCCCTGTACCAACATAGAGCAGAGCAGCTATCTGGACACTACCCCAACAGAGGTCGATCATCTTGTTAATAATTTTACCTCCTCACTACGTACGACTCTGGATACTGTAGCTCCTGTGAAAACTAAGGTCTCAAATCAGAAGTACCTGACTCCGTGGTATAATGTTACCCTGGAAGTGGTCTTATACTGGAACAGGTAAATCAACCTTCACAAACTGGGGCACAGGCGAGCCTGGTGTGGGGAAGTGTGTGACGGTATCTGCATTGGGATTCTGGTCGACCAGAGACTGTTCAGAAGAGAAGCACTTCATCTGTTACAGCGGTGAGTGGCATCGGCACCTAAAAGCACCACGACGAAGGAACAATAGTCTCTCAGATAGATAGATATATTTATATATTTATATTATTATGTACAACTAAAACACATTTAGTCGAAGAAAAGATATCATGATCAGCATTTCTTAAAAATATCAGTTTGTAGTTTAAAAAAGGCGAATGTTGTTGGTGAACATTTCCAGCCTGTGCTCTGACTCTGTCTGCTCGTTTCTCTTCCAGGTGATGCTGGCCGTTACATCCTGGTGCAGGACTCGAGGAGCTTTCATGGCGCTCGGTCCTACTGCAGGGAGAGGTACACAGACCTGAGCACCGTCAACAGTGTGGTGAACAACACGGAGATCGTGACTCTGCTGGCGTCACACATGTATGATAGTTATTCAGTGAATGGAAATAGATGGCTGATTCCCTCTTTGTCATATGCCTGGATTGGTTTGAGCAACAGCTGGGAGTGGTCCGATGGCAGCGACGTCCAGCTCCTGCCTCTGACTTTGCAATCAGGAGATGGGGACTGTGTGATGGTGGACCAATCATCATCATCGTGGCTTTTCCAGCCAAACTGGGGCACAGGCTTTTTAGGATCTCGACCTTTCTGACTTTGATAACATGTCGTATTTCAAACAAGCGGGAAGAAAATGTCCAAATACACAACTGTTAAACATGTCACTGAGATCAGTGGAGACAAGTTTGACAGTTGTGTGTCTTTGCTGATGAGATACATCACTGGGGAAGAATGAAATTCAATCATCCTGTGCTGGTTAGAAATCAGTCACTGTGTCTTTATCAGGTTATAACGCTTTCTCTCTACACTGTCAATAATCAGTCTCAGTGATTGATTAATGAGGAGCTTCTGTTAATGTGTGAAAACTGTGTTTCAGGTGAGGGAGAAGCTGGTGGAGCAAGGAGTCACTGAGGAGGTGAAGCTGAGGTGGAGGACGCAGCCTGATGGGAAGGTTTTCCACAGAGAGGAGGAGACAGCCGCTTACAGTGAGAAGGAAGACTGTGGGTCGGTTTAGTCTGCACACCAGGAAGTGACATCATCTGCTTTTACACTCAGCTCTCTCGTCATAATAAATATTATAAAATGTATTTAAACCAATTTATTATTGTTTTTTTAACATCTCCACATGTAACTGAGTTACATGTTTAAATGGAGCCTCGTTTGCTCTCACTCTGGTCATTTTCTTGCATAAACAAAAACACAGTGAGGACTGAAATATGATCATCTTTATTTGGAAGAGAAGCATCCAGTCTGCTGAACTGGAAACAGTTAAAATCATCCACATAATAAACATCTGCTCCTAAATCCTCTCTCAGAAAAGCTTCGTACATCATGTAAAGCCAGACGTAGGCTGAAAGTGTTCATTCAGGTTTATTTGTTTAAAGATATCAGGAGTATTTTCTTAATGCAAAAATCGGCCTTATTCAAATTCATCTGAGAAGCAAACTCAAACTGACCTCCATCAACCACCACATGGTGAGTGAGCTGTGAAACCATGAAGCCAGACTGAGGTCATAAACAGTAAACATTGCTCATGTATTCATCCTCTCTGACTTTCTTCTGCAGTTTTAGTCTGTAAGTGTAATAAAGCTTTTCTCACAGCATCAAACCTTTACCCTGTCTGCTGCATCAGGTCTCAGGTTTGTGTCTTCATTTGAATGTGAAGCAGAGTTTTGCATGCGATCACTGTGTTTGCATGGCTGCGTCACCGCCTCAGTGATATCTGAGTGAAGCTGTAACCATTATAATTCTGGAAAGGGCGGAAAAGCTCAACTGCTCACACACCAGCGGATATCTTTCATTCAAAATGTCATTTTAAACATATCCAACACATATATTTAGTAATAGTTCCTCACTGTTTGTTAAAACTGCAAATGTAACAGTTGGATTCAGCAGTTATTGTGAAAATGTAAACAACATGAACAGCAATGATGTGCAAATCAATGAAATGAAATCCAGCTGTGCTGGAGCAGAGATTTAATTTCATTTAAGATTTACTTTCCAATTAAATCTATGATTACTTCAAAAACAGTTGGAAAGCAGCACTTTAGGGTTCAATACCCACTAGGGCCAGGTGTTACCTTTCTGCCCTTCCTCTGTGGTGGTTAGCCTTTGGTGAAATCATTCAGGGGTTTGACAGGTTTTGGTCAGTCCTTCACAAACTGTCGATAGTACCCTACAAAGCCTAGAAAAGACTTGAGCTCACTGAGTGTCTGGGGTCATGGCCAGGTTCTGAGAGCTCTGAGCTTCTCGGGATCAGTCTCTACAACTTTGCTAGAAACAATGTGTCTCAAGTATCGCACTGAACTTTGGGAAAAGGAGCACTTTTGGGGAGAAAGGTTCAACCCATATTCTCCCACTTGCTGAATGACATGTAGAAGCCTGGTTTCACGTTCCTGCAAAGAACTAGAGAACACAATGATGTTGTAACCCAGTGAGTTTACACGACTCAGTAATGCAATACAACATTGTTATTGTTAATTATGATTCCTCATTATTCTGTTAATCACTGAGTTGAGCTAAAGTAAATCAATAATAACAGATAAATAATATAAATATGAAATAAAACCCCAAAGAGTTTATTTAACACCCCTACTGGTTAGGAAGGAACAAGCCCCGCCTTCCCCGGCTCTGCACCGTCACATGTGCTCAGACACAGAAGCTGTGTCCCAAAACGTCGGCCGCATCCTTCGGAGGACCCGGCCTTCGCGGTCTACGTGGGCCGGGTCCTTCGAAGACCAAGAAGGCCGGAAGTGCGAGGCCGTGAAATGGGACGGTCTCGCCTTCAGATTAGCGTCACCGCTGTCTCAGTGGAGTTTAATAAACTCGGCCGTCTGCTCCTTGCTGTCTAAAATATAACAGGACACTGGAGTAAACTCTCGACTGTCTCACACTTCTGTTTAATCAGTTTTCTGTTTTAGATTAGATTAGATGAGATAGATTAGATTAGATTAGATAGAACTTTATTAATCCCTCGGGTGGGTTCCTCTGGGAAATTCGATTTCCAAAAAAGCACAGCACCGACAGAAGTTACAGAATATTATATATATATATATATATATATATATATATATATATATATA